TATATGGTAATAACACATACTTTACACTTAATGTTGATATTTATTTATACTAAACAATTTAAAATATAGTAACAACTCATACATCATATTTAAAATAAATATATTCAAATATAACATTACAAATTTCGAAATATTATTCTATTTTATTTTTAATATTATACAATTTGTATTACTAATGTTTTTCAAAAATTACTAAAATTTTTAAAAATATAAATTTATAATCACAAAATCATTAGTTTCTTATATATATACTAATTTATTAAATACTATTTAGTTTAATTTTTTGATAATTATATAATTTTATATCACTTGTATTAATTTATACACATTAATTCAATATATTTAAGCAATATAAATGTATAGAAAAATCTATCTAATATTATAATTTTAAATATATACATATATATATTCTTAAATAGAATTTTAAATAAACAAAATTATTTTATTTAATTTAATGTTTAACTAAATCAGATCTATATTTAAATATTGGTAAGAAAATAGTAAAACCTATAATATTAATAAACTTTATTACTAAATATAATTTAAGCTTAAAACCTTTTTCACTATATATGGTGTAGGAAACACTTAATAAATATGTATAGTTGGAATTGTTAGGAAAGTTATATAATATATAAGAGGTTAAATAATATAGCGTGATTAGGATTAGTAAAATATAATAGGTTGATCACTTTTTGTCTTCAACTTTAAAGCGAGAGAAATAAATATATAAAGGGATATATTAGTTAGTTTAAGTTTTACTATACGCAAGAATTTAGGATTAGGATTAAGTTGTTAGTAATACTAGATTTTATTTACCGTGCTATTTGCGGTTTCTCCATTTTGATGTTGTTAACTTTTCTATTTTATTACTATGTGAGTCTTTTGTTCGATTATATTTATTCAATATAATTTCTATTTTATAAGCTGTTTTCAGTAAATTTCTGTTTTATCTGGTTTTATCTCTATACCACATAAATTTAGATATCATATATCTAATTTATGAAACATAAATATGAGTTGAAAATTAATACAATAAAGAAAGATAAGGGTGCTGATCTGAAATACTGTATGAGTTTAATATATTAAAAATTTCTGAAAATTTTATTATTTACATTTTTAATCTATATAATATAATTTACATTTTTAATCTATATAATATTATTTGAGAATCCAATTTCGTATGTGGATAAAACTATTATATCTAAAAGTCAATATTATAAAAAATTATTTTACCTTTTTATTTTATATTTCTTTTTATACCTTTTACAAAATAACTTATATAAATAAAGAGACATATTTATAAAATATAAAACTGAAAATTTATTTTTAAAAGAAAAGAAAATAGATTCCATGAAAATAGGATTTATAAATATATGAGCATGAAAAAATATTTTATATAATGGATTGCACAAAAAGGAAAGTTCACAAAAAGTTAATCTTGATATTAAAATATAATTCCCTTAAAAATAATTTTAAACATGTACTATCTTTATATCAGAATTTTGTTTTCAGAATCTTAAAAAGGTAATTTAAATAACATATGATATCTTTAGTAACTGAAAATATTTGTAGTTATTATAATAAAAAAATTTATATGTTTTTGGAAAATATTTATTTTTAATTTTTTAATTTTGATATACATTTTCTTTATAGCTTTTATGCAACTACGTAAATAAAAATATTTAAACTAGCTTAATATACTACTTATTTAACATGAGTATTATAAAAATAATTCACAAAATAACTATTCTAAATATTAAATGATATTTCTTTTGAAATTGACTTTAAGAAAGAAGAAATATTTAGAAAGGTGAACAAAAAGTATTATTTTTACTATAAATGTATTCGAATAAAAATAATAAAATGCGTTTTAAATAGAATCATTCGTAATTTTGAATCGATCAATACTATAATTTTTTATTTGATTCTAAAAAGATTATATATTAAGTTAAACTTAATTATAGTAAAATATTTACAAATCTAAGATAATTACCAAACTAAATGAAAATAAAAAATCAATCAATAGTTTAATTTATTTAGAACAAAAAAAAAATACTATGATTGAATTTGGAGAAATAAATGAAATCCAGTATACAAATAATAAAATGCGTTTTACATTGAATTTGCACGATGATGTGTGAAGGATTCCACCTTGATCGGCGCCGGGCCCCACACTTTTCCTGTTTAGAAAGCCAATTTGAAACAAAGCAAGAATGATTTGATTCAAAGGAGAGATGTAAATGAGCAAAATTGACGTAAGAATTAGATTTAAAGTGTAACTCTGAGTACCTGTGGACAACCAAATGAAGTTGCCCTGGAATGACATGAATAGCAACACATCTTTTATTTTTATTTTGAATGAAAACACTCATCTTTTATAGCAAATCACTGTCGTTTACAGATCCGATAACTCCTGCTAAAAATCAGAAACATGAATTTACCCATTGGTTATATTTTCTAAAAACGTTTATTTACGTTTACAGGTCCGATAACTCCTTCATCGGCTCTGCGGAGGAAGCACCGAATTTGCCTCCATGTTTGATTTCCTTGGCTTTGTCGTTTCCGTTTGGTTGCTTGGTGTTAAGATCGCCGGAGACGGTGGTTTCTCTGTTGAAATTCATCAGAATTTTCGAGTTTGAGAGTGTAGAAAATTCTGAGAAAATAAAGAGATGGGAAGAAGGCGAAACGAACCAATAATTTTTGGAGTCATTGCACAAGAGATGGAGAGACGGATTGGTGTCGATGGATCGACTTCGGTTGAGAAGATGAAACGACGAAGAAGCAGAGAAGAAACAGAGAAGAAACAGAGAGGGATTCGCGAGAGAGAGATAAAGCGTGATAGGGTTTCGGGTTTGGTTCATGTCTGTCTCGAACTCTATGTGGGTGGGGTCTTAATTTGTTTCGAACAAAACAAATACAAAAACAAAAGAGCCCAAGAATACCCAATTTCTTGACCTGACGTGGCGAAATGATGGGTTCCTATTGGCTGATTATTTTCGCATACGTGGACGCCCTCCCCTTTGCATATATTCTCTTTTTATTATTGTACTGATTGATATTGTTGCCGATTTTTCTGTAGAATTTAATAATAAATTTAGAAAATGTATTAATAAAACAGAAAAAAGTAAATCATACTTAAATATACATTTTAATAAATATTCCAATGGTACACAGTCTAACAAAGTTAACATAAAACTTCAACAAGATAATACCCCAAAACTTGGGTAACTTCCTAAACTACCACTTTCTTAGTACAATATTTAATCTTTACCTTAATCACATTTATCTTTGTTTGTAAGAAGGTAAATAGACACTTATACCTCTAGGATTAACTATTCCTAAAAAAAAAATTTGTTTAGATTTGAGGGGATTTTAGAATACAAGGTTTAGAACTTTAAGAGAAATATAAATCTCTATTATTAAAATAGAAGTACCCTATTGAAATGCCCCTTAATGTTCAATGTTATTTACAATGGAATGCCACTGAAATTATTAATTACCCTACCTTATAGGATTTTTTGTCTTTTCACTTTAATTAATGCATTTCCAAAATCAAATTTTAACTTAAAAAAATTATGGCAACAATAATTAATGAAAATAATTATTTTCATATATACCTTTCATAATTAAATAAATAAATTATATAGAAATTGTTTTACTAATTCCATATACATAATAACTAATTCCAATATTAATTAATCTACCTTTTAGGACTTTTTTTCTTATTAATTATCTACATATCTTTAAGTAGTTAATGAACAATATTGTTTTCAAAGATATATAATTATATTTTTATTATTTATAAGTAATAACTAAAATAAAAGTCACAAAAAGAAACATTTATATAATATATAATACATAGATTAATATAAACATATTATGTTATGTATATTTTTATATAAATAATAGTTCAAGGTAAATTCAAAATAATAAAAGTTAAAAAGTAGAAATATATAGGACCATATATTTTAAATAGTAGATACAACAATTTAATTATACATTATTATAAAATTTTGATCCATAAAAATAAAATAAAACATTTTTGCAGATATACGGGTCATATTTTTAAAATAACTATGACACAATGATAGTTTATAAGATAAAATAAAATTACTCAATATAAGCTATAAAATTATGTGTTTAAAATGTCATTTTAAATAATTATTTAAACGGGTAAATTTATAAATATATATTATCACTTATAAAATATATAAAAACAAACACTTGCGCGGATCAAACAACAAACTTTTCGGTAGTCTTCTGTCAAAATTAAACCCATAAGTAATTTGTAACCATTTAATTGATACTTCATTTTTTATTTTACAAATTTCAATCCAAATATTTTATATATTAAAAATTTTATATAATTTGAACATCAGGCTTTTCTTAGAAATGTTATAACTAATTTATCATTTTTTTGTATACCATATTAACTCTTACTTCTTAAGATTTGATGTATCTTTAACTGATTTTTTTTTTCAATATATCGTCTACATGTTAGATTTGTTTGTATGATATCCAATATTTTTGATACAATAAATTGCTAACACGCACAAAAAAAACTTAATGTAATACAATTAATTTTTACAAAAATTTCATTTAATAAAAAAATAAAAAAAATAAATTTAATACCCGTGCGGTCACACGGGTCAAGGTCTAGTAAATATTTAAAATTAAAACAAATTTTTTTAAAAATAGTTTCAAAAAGTATTTTCGAATATGAGAATATCAGAAAATTTACAAAACAAAATCGAAAAAATCAAAAAAGTAATTCAAAAAGTAAAAAAAAAAATTACAAATTTGAAAAGTTTAATTCTAATTTTTTTAAATATATATTTTAATTTTTTAAAGAATTATTTATATTTATAAATTAATGGAATAAATGTCTTTTGTCTCCTTAAAAAAGTCTCTTAGGTATTTTTGAAAATGTCTATTTAGAGATGGTAAACATGATTAATGGTAACAAATGGAAGATAAAAGTGAAATTCTTCCATAAAACTTCATGAAGATACATTTGTGTCCTCGTCGAGAGGGTGGTCGATAGAGTTTGCAAGGATACCCTCTTTCTGCGACTTCTCACAGTCAAGAAGCTGTTCAAATAGGCTTGTAAGTTCTAAAGCTGAATTTTCATGGGGAACAAGCCAACCAGGTTGAGTTTTGGATAAGAGAACACCTACACCGTTAGAATACATACCTTCAAACAATCAACAGCCTCTTTTTCCATGTGTTTTGAGATTATTATAATAACATTTGGTTTAGGAAATACCACTGGCAAACAAATAATGTCCACTAACATCCAAGTCATTCTCGCAAAGTCATCATCCCCTGGAATGGACCCACCCTCGGCCTCGGGTAAGGAATCGACAAAGATTTTGGCATCCGTAAATTTACGTTCCATTTCATCCGAAAACCTATTCTTGTAAACGTAAGCCACAATAGATACCTCATGACAGCCCAAATACAGAAGAATCGATTCTATACACCTATGAAGCGAACCAATATCATCGACTAAATCCTTAGGAACCGGGTAATCTGCCACGTCCCAATACATCACTGTCTTACCATCTGCCAAAGAATAATGAATAAACTATTATGAAAAGATTAAAATTAGATCCATTTAAAATAATTAGATCTTACTTTTGTTTATCACCAAAGGCGTAGATATGTTTTCGTCTGTCGTCGCCCAGGATAAGGAATTGGATTTCTCCGGACAACCACTGTTCTGGCATTTTGTTAGTTTAGGGTTAGCCATCTTGTGAGAAGTGTCCCTATATCATCTTACGATCTCTCTGGTGTGGGGAATATACTGAGTGAAGGAGAGGGTTTAGACTTGTGTTAAGTGGTAACCCGAATCACGTGAAGCACGTGAGAGAGTATATGTAAAAGGCTGTGATATAAAGCCTTATCTTCTTCGTCGTTTCAAGGTGAGGAGTGAGAAACTGATCTGAGATTGTATTAGATCATGTAGACGAGTTAGAGAGAAGAACACCTTTGTAAAGATCGGAGCTCAAGTTCTTGAGTGGTTCCAGTGGATTGCTGGTATATCCAGCCCCGGTGATGTATAGTGGCCACGCCTTGTTAATGGTGCGGTGCGGTGAACACCGGGAAAACAAACTTTGGTGTCTCTTTTTTATGCTTTGTTCTTTCTTATTCTTAAATCGATTCCAAAATCCAAGTAGATTAAAAGCTAAGGAATCCTAACACATCTTTCTTCGCCTCTTATATAAATGGGCCAGGGAGTATCGTATTGGGCTGCGCCGATAACTTGGATATCAATCTTACCCTCCTCCTGTGTCTCCAACTTTAACGCTGTTTTTTTTGTTTATTATTGACAACGATATTTTACCTTAATATTTAAAAGGAAATTGCATTGTATAACCCAAAAAAAATTATAATTCATTATATGGCTAAAAAACCTAAATTACTAACATATAATGTATATTTTATTTAATAATGCCATTATACCCTTGAATGCAACCGGTGAAACGTGCACAAAAAAAAATTAATTAATAATTAATGAATGTAGAAAGTAGAATGTGGCTTTCTATTACTCACTCACTTTTAACAAAACTAAGTTTTAATGGTAAAATCTGAAAATATGAATAGTTTCTTCTTCAGATTTGAGCGACCAAGACGCCACAGAATACAGTCCGGAGAATTTTTGTGGAAGAAACTACCACTTTTGAATATTTTGTTGGTTATAAAAGGGGATACCTCTCGGACTCCGAAAATGATAGTCATGAGGACGCCACAACAGGAGATCCGGTGAGGTGAATTACCGTCTACATTCTTGTAGAAGTTTTTGTGGAGGAGAAGACCACTTACATAGGCTCATACGGGGAAGAAATGCTGAGACTTCTTGGATTCCGAAATCAACAAGTGCATCAAAACAAAACAGTTGTTGGGGTGTGGTACAGCCATGAATTTTTATTCAACCTCGCTGAAGCAGAGAATGACAGAATGTGAGAATTAAAAATTTTACTAAGACAAAAACCAAACAAAAAAAAAAATTTAAAAAAAAGTCGCACTAATACGGTTTAGCTGTGACAAACTTAATTTTTTTGTAAAAAAAAAGAATACGGTTTAGCTGCGCTTGGAAGCTACATTTCGGCAAGATGATTGAAGTCACCCACCTTCTGAGAAATTACCGTAACTAATTTGTTTTTTTTTTTGTAACATCGTACATTTCGGTAATTTTTACATTTTGGAACATATATAGATCATGTTTTTTGGCTCCGGTTCTGGTTCAAATTTTGGGTTACAGATTTGATGCCGGACCTAAGTAAAATCATATCTTATAATTTTTTGGGGTCATCCTTTTGAATAATCGAAACTGTTATTGCCTAAGCACATTAGACTTCTGATAAATCGTCTTCCCGAAGATTTATTCTTGTTGTTATCGCATTGGTGATGATTGTATAGAGAAAATAGTGTTGGAAAATACGTTAACCAGACGGCCACACTGTATAACTTTTAGCCATGGATATTTATGTGAAGTATATACGGAAAATATTTTTGATATATATATATATATATATATATATTTGTCAATGATATACATTTATATATAGTATTAAAATATAGTAAAATATAAAAAATATCTTCATATATACCTTTATATTAGGTAAATAAATTAATTCATATGATTTAATCATAAAAGTGTACTAGATATAAATTGTAAACATAAAGTATCATATATAAGGCATAATTAAACTATAAACATTTGAGAAATTTATATATTTCCAGATAAAATAGTAAAGTTTTGTGAATAAGAAGCAATTAAGTATTACATCATTAAACTATATGCAACATGTATAGATGTAAAGTTGTAGATAAATAACTTAACATAAATAATATATTAGTTTCCTAATAGAAAAACTAAATAATTATAAAGTGAAAAAATGTTCTGTACACTTCTGAAAAAAAGATCGAAGGTATAATATCCCTTATATATTAAAAGAGAAGTATTGTAATAAATGTGTTCACATCATAATTGACATGTGTCGGTTTCACAATCATTTGTCAATAATGCGTTTACACACTAAATTTTTAAATTCATTATTTAATGTGTTTATACACTATTTTTAATTAATTCATTTTCCAACATTTTTAGCTTTTGTATTAATAAATTAAAATTTTTACATGAAACTAATGAATAATATCTTTATTGTAAAAAATTACAAAATCATTAAGATTCACATCAACTGAAATGTTTGGATGAAAATGTTTGTATAAATTGAAATTTTCGTACCTTGTTGAAGTTGGTCATGGTTGAGGCTTCATTACACAATAACAACAAATAATGTGATTGATTATGAATTTAAGAAACTGAGGTGAAAAACACCAAACGTAAAGTCGGATATTTAGTTTAGTCAAATATTAACATTTTTATAAAGTTTTCATATCAGACTAAGAATTAGAAACAAAATCAAATTGGTAGAAAAAAATCAGAAATCAGAAAGCTTTAAAAAGAAATAAAAAGCACAAAATCGATTGAAAACAAAATTCAGGTACCAGGTGAAGATGTCACTTTATAATATATATTATTTTTATTGTTTATGGGTACAATTTGATTTTCTTCATATAAAAATGTTATTAATTTCTAGGTTTGTTTTATTTTTTCTTTATTTTATTTAATAATTTACTATCATGTGTTATTTTGAACAAAAATATTTTAAATTTTAATTAACGGTATATTCATATATTTATCATCACCATAAGTGAGAATTTTAATTCTTATTGAAGTTAATTTTTTTATTAATGTTTTATTTCACTATCGCTCAAATTGTAGTGAAATGTTTTATGTTAATAATTTTTTTCTTTCTTTTTGTTCAAATATTATTTAGATTTTATTTGAGTTTACATGTCTTTAGAAATTATAATAGGAAACTATTAGTTCGACATCAAAAATGTCAAAATTTTATATCAAACGAAACCAAACAAATAACAATAGTTTTTGGTTATCATCGAAAAAATAAAAACATCGAACAATTAAACCAAACAAACCAAAATAAATATAGATTTAGAATGATAGTTATATTTTAGGAGATTAAAAAACAACGTAAAACTGAACCAATATTCATGTTAAACAGATATAATGTCATTTTATTTTAAAAGTAACAAAAGTAATAATCTCATTTCGCGCAAATTGAGGATTATTACCTAGTAATTATTAAACATAAATGTTGTGCACTATCAATCTATTACACACATATACTAATGAAGAAACAAACAAAGAAAACACATGAATAATGTTGAATATTCCCTCCGTTTCACTTTAATTATCTTTTTTGAATTTGTATATACAGATTAAAAATATATTTAATTTTATATATTTTCTAGATAAAAAGATAATTACTCATACATCTAATCAAATTTCGACCAATAAAAAAGAAAATAACATATAAAATTAATAAATTTTACATTAAAAATTATTAAACAATATTATTTAAAAACAAAAAATTTACTTTACAATTAAATTAAAACGAAAGAGTAGACTCAATGAACCTCTTGTTAAATTCGGTACGGCAAGTCTTCGTCCAGTGAGTAATCGGCGTAACGCCGACCGAGCAAACCGTATTTTAGAACAGTCAAAGTAATGACGTTTTTGGGCCTACGTCACAATTGTTACGACGATTGTATCGAAAAAGAATATTTTTAAGAGGATGCTTGCAAATTATAAATGAGCGTTCAATAACTTTTTTTCTAGCAAAAGCGCTCAATAATTTAACACTCCATTAACAGCAAAAACAATACTAATCTATTATCGAGATAAAATTAAAATTTACTTAGAGTGTGACTGGAAATTTCGAATAATTAATACTAAAAAAAAAAAAAGAGGAAAAATGAAACACGAAAGTTACTCTAATAAAATGTAGCGCAACAATGAGTGTACATTTTCTCTTGATTTAATAATAATTAAAGTAAATATAAGAAAGTGTAATTTGATTGAATAATAATTAAAGTAAATATAGTAAAATATAATTCTACCTTATTGGCAATTTCACACATCCAGTCAAACGTTTAATCTTATTATAGGATATTATAGGAGTAACACATTTTCCACTAATAATAGTTGCGCTAGACACTGACGGAGCCAGAAAAAAATTTAATTGGAAACAAGTAATAATTATAAATAAAATTATAAGTAAATCATTACATTATTCTATAAATGCATTTTCGTCCACTATATAAATCCATTATACTATATAGTCCTCTATATATTAATGTTGATCCGCGTCCGGCGCGGGGTGAGTGATGGAAAGAGGTTATTACTATAATATGTAAGATAATATAATATAAAATTTATTTGTATTTTTTGTTAGAGCAAAGTTTGTGTATTGGATATGTCCATTGATTGAAGTGTTTATATGAGAAAAAAATTTTAGAGTAAGGAAATATTTTTATTAATTTATTAAATAATTTATGAAAAATAAAACATAACAATATAATTGTTCATTTCATAACCAAAGTATGATGATAATAAAAAAAAAAATAATTGTAATATACTTTTGTATATGATATATTTTGAATTTTTAAAAGTTACGTATATTTATATATTTAAACAATTACTTATATATTTATAGAATCATTGAATGTTAAGAAAACCTTTATCTAAGAAAGAAAATATACATAGCAGAAATTTTTATATTTAAAAAAAAAAAATTAAATGAAAATATCATGTATCCCACCAAAAGACACTGTTTGGAATCTTCAAAAGTTAGTCTTTAGACAGCTTAACTTATGTAAATA